TTAATCTCCCTCCTTCTTTCGTTTGCTTGTTTATGTGTGGCACGGGAGTATATGTAATGGAATTTTTGTAATAAGTAAAGCGTTCTATAATTTGATTATTTTCTATATATTATCACACACATCCAATAAAATTTCTAAAGATATGCTGTTTTTGAATATTTTTAGCACAATGTGACAATAGCCCAAATGCTCTCGAAACATGTATGTGCCAGTAAATGGGGGAAGGAAGCCCATTTGAGCGTAATATAAAATCTGAAAGCTTTCAGATTTTTTTTTTGTTTGTTTTTCTTTTTATTTATTTTTGAATTTAGATTCAAACTTCAAAAAGTTTATGTAAAATTGTGTGCAGGATAAAATATGCAATGAGGTAAAAATAAAGAGATAATTTATACGAGAGATGCAGATATATCATTACAAAAGGGGTTAATGGTTTCTATTTACAGTGTACATTTTTAAACTAAATTGAAAACAACGATAATAATAGATGAAAACAATAATAATTACAATAAGTAATGAAAACAATAATAATTATAATAAGAAGATTTAAGAAATGAAAACAATAATAATTATAATAAGTAAAATAAGAATATAATGATTCATGATTAAATATAAGAAACAAGTTTCAAACTGAAAAAACCAAAGTTTGATTTACAGTGGTTACGGGTGAGGTTCAAACTCGCAACCTTTCCCTTTGCAATCCAGTATACTAGCCACTCAGCTATCTGTGAAAGCAACGTTTATGAAAAATAATGTAAGAAGTAGAAGTCACTGCAAAGGTAATTTAATTAATATTCAATAAATGATTGCCATATAACCCAAGCTGCAACTATTCTAAAAAATTTCTTAACTGTATTTAATTGAATACTCTTTCACAGTCAACTGCTTTATTTTAGAAGTCGTTATACAGTTGAAGTTCGTTTTTGGTGTATTTAATATTGTGATATTTATAGAGCTTTTTGTTACACATGAAATAGCGAACATTTATAACAATTAAGGAAAATTTTGTAACGCAAAAAATTTTATTTCGTAGAAACTGTAATTTATTTAGGTTCCTATTACTTACAGTATTATAAACAGGTGAAGCGTATGGATATACTTGTCAGATCATTGTTTTTTAAATATAGAGTTTTTTCCCTTTAATGAGAATTTGAAATTTATACTAATAGATATGGTTTGAGAAATCTGAGGATGCTGTAAGCAATGCTGATTATTTTATTACTGTATACTGTTACGATCTCTTTAAGCAAAAACTCATCTCTGTGTGGTTCTGACGCCATATTGAAACGTGTAAGCAAGAAAATTTTCTGATTATGACACCTGATAAGAACTCGATCAGCTATTGGCTATTCATCCATGTTGCAGGCAAAAAAGCTGAACATCAGCGAACTTAATTTTACATCCTCTGCGTAATGCAAAGTTACGCCGACGAAAGAGAAATTGCGTCAACTACGTCGCGAGCGTACTCGTATGGATGGGTCTTTAGTCTTTTCAAAGCTCTGTCAGAACAGGTTTTGACATGTTTTGTGAATCTCAATTTTGCATCTAAGGTAATTAATAAGTATTTTGGGCATAATATCTTCAGTATGCATTTGCCTCTGATGTATAATTTTGGATTTGTTAGATCTCGATGCTTTCTATCTGTTGAAAAGACACAGAACTCACTTGGGGAAGTCTGTAATCCCTAGAGAATGCATCACCAGATGGCGGATAGGGGAATACTCCCCATTAGTTTTGCTTTGGATGGTAGAAGGGAAATAAAATATCTTCACGAACTAACAGGCAGATGTCCAACCCTTCGGGCAATGGCCCTCCTTTCTATGACGAGTCTAGATTCAGCAATGCCATCCAAAAACAGTAGAGAGAACCGCAGATTGTTTTAAATACTGGAATTGTCTGTTTTCCCATTACTCCTTTGCATAGGAAGTTTTAGTGTGCCTTGTTTGAAAAAATGGTAGTCATCCAAGCAAATTTAAGTTTGATAGAAGAAGAATAGCGGCTTATAGAGAATGGAGATTATCTTTCCTCAATGCTAGTATTGGGCAAAAAAAGCCACAGTGATGCGAATATGTAATCGATGGGTGCAGAAAGAACAGACCAAACAAAGGGAACAATTAAACCAGCCACATCACATTAATGAAGATGAGAACAGGCATGTTATTTTCGTAAAGTAAATCAAGAATCCTTGTGCAAGAACTTATGTCTTTTGAACAATATGTGTCGGTACATATCATTTGATGTCAGCAGAGGAGGAGAATCTATGCAAGGTGGCCTTGCTGTGATTACTTATAAACACATCTTTTCAAACAAACCTTGATTCTACCTATTCTATTCTTGATTCTGATAAATATAATACATATATCCAAATTTGGCAGCATCATGATAATAGACATTATGACTCTTTCATTATACACTGTCATACCCGTCCATCACTTTGAGTTACCTTTTTAGGGTGCTACTTGATTTTACTCTTTGACTTTCCTAATATTCATTGCCAACACACTCATAGCTATTATTACATATCTGAAAGTATATATCCTCCCGTACCTTCAAAGAACTATTTGCCTAAGAGGACAGTGTGTGACAGTGTTTGTTCTATTGGACAGTATGTGATCACATATGACACGCAATGCTAACAATTCTTAATTGCCCTCCGGGTCACATTGTTGACTTGGCATATAAGTTTAAAAGACATTCTCTAAAGAAATTTAATTATCTGGACTCTAGAAAACAAACACTTTTTCTAATTGGACTGACATTTTAACAGGATTCTAAAAAAAAAAAAAAAAAAAAAAAAATAATGCACAAACTTTATAAAATATTATCTAGCTCAATATTATATAATTCATGCGAGGGCCATCCAGGAAGTAGATTACGTTTCCGTCTGTGTCCGCTAGGGGCGGGGCTAGCGCGGCCATCTTGGGGTCAGAGCGTTGCGCAGCTCAGTCTGCATCTAGCCGTGCTAGTGAGAGGTTCGTGCTGTGCTCCGTTCAGATACTGTGACGGTTTGAAATGTCTGCGTTAATTGAAAATCCCGCGAGCTGCGAGGTGCGCTCAGTAATAAGTTTTCTGACTGCAAAAAAACTGTAAACCGATAGAAATCTATCGGCAGCTTCGTGAAGTGTATGGGGACAACATTATCACTGAAGGTGGAGTGCGTCAGTGGGTCATAAGATTTCAAAATGGCCGAACCAATGTTTCACGACGAAGATCCAAAGTGGGAGACCCAGCATAGTGACCGCCGAACTTCTCGAAAAAGTCGATGCTAAAGTCCGTGAAAATCGAAATTTCACAATAACGGAACTTTCTTTGAGTTTTCCAAATTTCGCGAAGTTTGTTGCACGAAATCATCAGCGAAAAGCTTGGTTACCACAAGTTTTGTGCAAGATGGATTCCAAAATCTTGACAGAGGACCACAAAAATCAGCGAATGGCTGCAGCGTTGAACTTTTTGGACGCTTACCATAAGGATGGTGACTCTTTACTCGATCGCATCGTTACTGGTGACGAACATGGGTGAAACATGTGAACTGTGAAACGAAAATTGCAATCAATGCAGTGGGGGCACACAAGTTCTCCCCAAAAACCCAAGAAATGCATGCAAACAATGTTGGCAAGGAAGATGATGGCGACTGTTTTTTGGGACAGAAAAGGTGTAATTTTGGTGGACTTCCTGGAAAGAGGCACTACAATAAACTCTCAAAGGTATTGCCAAACTCTCCAAAAACTCAGAAGAGCAATTCAAAACAAGCGCAGAGGAATGTTGAGCTCTAAGATCTTGTTGATTCACAACAACGCCCGGCCCCACACGGCAAATGTCACTCATAAAGTTCTTGAATCTTTTAAGTGGGAGTTGTTTCCTCATCCGCCGTACAGTCCCGACCTGGCACCGAGCGACTTCCACCTATTCCCAGCAATGAAGAAGTGGCTGGCTATGCAGCGTTTTGATGACGACGCACAGCTGCAAGAAGAGGTAACGAAGTGGTTGAAGGCGCAGGCGGCCGAATTTTTCGACGAAGGAATTTCCAAGCTCGTACATCGCTACGATAAATGCCTTAATTTGTATGGTGACTATGTAGAAAAGTAGTATTTGAGTGTGGCTTTCATCTGTATATAATAAAATTTGTTTCCTATACTTTGTTTATTTTTTTATTCCAAAACGTAATCTACTTTCTGGATAGCCCTCGTATTTACCACATTCATTTTTAATACTCTATTCTCTCTGAAATGTATATGGGGAGAAAGGAAAATAAGTAGGATTCCTCTCTTTCCCCATACACACTTCAAAATTTAAAAAATCAGGAATCAGAATCTTCAAAATCAGGAATTTGTACTTATTCTTAAGTTTGTAATAATTGATTAGGTTGTTCAAGTTTGCAATAATTGATTAGCTCTTATTTAATTGGTAATTTCCCCTTTCTACTTAAAAGTAGTAGCTGCTTATAATAAATTTCTCCAAACACCATCATTAAAAAATTAATCACTATCATATCATTCTTACATAATGGTAAATTTCAAATCTAGAAATCAAAACTTAAAACAAGCCAATGAAAGTTGAAATGAAACTAAATCATTCTGAACATTCGAACATCCTGCATTCATTCAAGAATAGGTGTGCACATTGCACCCATTACACTGTGTAATTCATAATAAGAATGGGCTTTTTAAGAATAAAAAGAAATATTGAATTGGCCACTATGATATAACTATGCATCTATACATTTTGAACATCCAAATTATTTCATACATGTAAAGCACGAAAATTTACCACATTAGTTAGAGAAAACATTTTTTACAAATATAGTATACAGTTCTACATTCTATGCTTATAATCATATAGGAAAATTTTCATTTTCCTATATGATTATATTATATAAATTAATGCAAATAAACTTTAGATGTTTCTTAAATGTGGATTTTACATTTATTCTAAATAACATAAAACATACATTCAACTTCTGAAGAAAGCATACATAACTTGATTTAATAAAATGGGGAACTTACAGTTTGATGATCTTGATTCATTCAGAAAATATCTTTTATTAGTATCCACATCTACGGCCTCTTCAAATCCATTCTCGTTACATAGGCTATGAATGTCTGATTTTGTTCCACAGAAAGGAAGACTATCATCAAGTAATGAATGGCAGTTGATTGATGTCTTACTTCGATATTTCTCATCAACACGTAAAATAGTTATGTCACCTAAATCGACACCAAGTTTCTGAACTACAACTTTTGGAGCATTTTCTTCTGTGTGTGTTCTTTCAGTTTGCAAAGAGGATAATATACTTTCAGAAGAACGATCAGAATTGAGATTAATTTCTAAAGAATCAGATGCTTCATCACCATATCCACACAATGTAGAAATTGTCTCCTGACTTACAATGAAAGCTTCTTCACCTGCATTTTCAATATCTGAGGAATTTTTATAAAATATTTGCTTATCTTTGCTGGTATAAAAAGTAGCTTTTATTCCCGTACACATGGAAGATGAGTCAAATATTCCACTATCTTCAGTTGTACTTTTCTCAGAAATATGTAAAACATTAAAAGTGGGAATATGTGATGCTATATTCTCCATTATTTCAAAAAAAGAATTCTTCTACACTTGACAATTTATAACTATATAACTATATATATAATTTCTGTCTAAGGAAGGCTACGTTAAGTGATATAAAACGAAATGCAAATAAGGAAGTAAATTATATAAATGCATCAGCTCTAAAATGACTTTACTTCCTAAGAACGAAATAATCATAACAGCACACTGCTTACCTGAAAGAAATTTTAAAACATATAATTACAAAAGAGAGTTAAATACCTACAAACTGTTACTTGTGTACAATACTAAAATTTTACATACAGTGTCTGAATATATCAAAGCACAAAAATCTACCTATCCATTTTGAGAATTTGCGAATTTTTATATAGGGTTTGACTATGGCAAAGCATACAAAAATACCTATTCATTTTGAGTACTTGCAAACAAGAATGAATTTAACGTTTCATCATTGATGGAAATTTTATGCTTTCTGTCTAAAGGAAATAAAACTAATCCGGAGGTGCATGGAAAAGGAAAAATATATTCCAAAATATGTTATTGCAAAACTTTATTTAATAGAAACTGATTAAACTTGCTATTTGAAAGCAATAATTATGGCTGTCAGTAAAATTTATTTAGTTTTATAGAATTTTTAACTTTTATGATATTGCTATAAAATAGACTCAGTTGATAGCTAATTTGTTACTAACCTAATACTTTTTTTAAAAAAAAAAAGAATTTTAATACAAAATTTAAACCTAATCTTGAACATGTTTTACTATATCAACAAGCATTTATCTAAAATTTTATTTTAAATTTCTGAAAATGAAAAAAAATGAAAAAGTACACATTAAAATGGCCTTTTGAATTGCATAGTATTACTTGCATAATCAGCATCTGAATGAGAATATACATTTAGATGTTAAATCCTCGATAAGTTTAACTTATATGATGTAGTACTGTTGAGATAGCCAAGCAATTTCAACAATGCTTCCTAATGCCTAATTCCAGGATTCTCCTGGAACAGTGATTAGATATTTACTGCATATGTGATATCAAGCCTTGTTCTTTAAGCTAGAAAAAATAAACATCCCAATAGATTTCTAAAAGGTAATTTCCGCATTTCAGCTATTTTTGCACTTGTAGAGACAATCTAATTTTGAAGGAATAGTGCCTTTAGCTATGGGAAGTGAAGTTATTTGTATCTGAAAATGTTTAAATTTTGCAAAAATTTCTTCGATATATTTTTGCTGATGTATGAACGTGCGCCTTTGCCGTTTTCTAAAAATTTGATTCCAAGTAATTTTCTAGTTCTGCCTAATTCTTTAAGACCGAAAAATTTACCAAACTGTGAGATTACCTATCCACTGTTAATCTTTACTAAAGATTACAATATCATCTACATATAATAAGAGGATTACATTAGAGCTCTTAAAAACACAATTACACCATCGTATTTTCTTAAAATCTAGATTTTCTAAAGTATTTTTAAATTCACAAAGCCATTCATGGCTGCTCTGATGCAGACCGTAAATGACCCTGCGTAATAAACACACTTTATTTTCCTCTTCAATAAATCCCTTTGGCTAGGTCATATATACTATGTTTTCATTGAGCTTTGCATATAAATATCCATTTTTCAGGACTAATTGATAGTCCATCCAATACAAATATATTAGTATTGTGAAAAACATTCTTGTGATTGAAAAATTTACTACAGAACTGTAAATGTCATCAAAAATCTTTATCCCTTTTCTGTCTGAACCCCTGCACGACTAGACGTGCTTTATGACTACTTAATTCTTTTAATTTCTTTTAAGCATACAGACCCACTTGTTTCCCAACATAATTTTCTTTTCTGGCTTCTCAACTAATTCCCAGACCTTCTTTTTCTTCATTGTGTCAATTTCTTCCCTCACTGCCTTATCCCTTTCTTTGTCATTTACAGATTTTTGTGGTTCTTTAAAATTTTGTGGGATTATAATATCTACAGAATTTGCCTCTTTAGATAGGGAAGAGCTATCCTCCTGTTCTATAAAATTAATTTTTCCGGAGTATTCATTTTTTGCCTTTTAAGTCAAAAATATCTCTTTCAAATTTAATATTTCTAGCCTCGCAGTATTTTTCAGTGTCGTTATGAAGCCTAAAACGAGTGACTGCTCCTTCTACGTAGTAATATATCTGTACATGTTCCACCTGGCCTCTTAACCATTTTTCTTTGCCATCTGAAACCTCTTTCGGGGTAGATTAATGTTCTAATGACTTCTGTAGAAGTTTCCTTTTCTTCATCCGATTCTGATAACCACTCCGATTCTTCTAGTCTTTTAAACTTAGTTTTTGATTTCTGGCCCAGGATGTTATCTTCTGTGTTCAGATTTCACTGAATTTCACATTAACCAAATACTTTAAAATAAACAACACTGGGTTTTCTATTGAGGAACATTTAAGGTATTCGGTTACTCTTATGACACACCCTGTTCCATGCATGCAAGAGCTTCTGCCCACCATCCTTTTCCCATTTTACTATCATTAAGCACAGCTTTAACTGTGTCTAATGCTGTTCAGTTAAATCATTCACATACACCATTTGTCCATTCAACACCAATTCTGTTTTCAGCTAAGTACCTTTCGAATTGCTTGTTACAGAATTCATTGCCATGATTGATGCATATACTAATTCATTTCTATTTGTCAATTTTTCCATTTGCCTAGGATAGATCTTAAAGTTAACAAACAATTCATTTTTTTATTTTTCATACAATATATTGTTACTAATCTAGTAATATAGTCATTTACGATAGCAAGGAAATATTTATTCCCACCTTTAGATGAAACTGGGAGGGGGCCACAATTGTCTAAATAAACCAACTGCAATGTTTTTTGGATCTCTTAGGAACAGTTTTAAAAGTTAATTTACTAGATTTAGCAATAATACAAGTTTTGCATTTCTCCATTTGTTTTTTTACTTCTGGTAAACCTTTCATGCTTTGGTTTTTACTAGTATCCTGTATGTATTCAAAATTTAAGTGGCAAAATCTTTGATGCATAGCTTCGCTTTGTCTACTTTATTTAACTTTCCAGTTTCTATACCATAACCAGCTTAATTTTCACCTGTTGCATACTTAAGTGGTTTAAAGTGATAGAGTCCGTCATATTGTTTTGCATAACATAACCTATCCCAATTTTTAAAATATAATCACAACTTTCTGTTGAACCTATAAGATGTGCATTTGCCTTTTCTAAACTTGCTCCCAATAGCAAATCTCTTCTTAGATTTGGATTATACAATACATTTTCTACTTCAATCCAATTTATTTGGTTGCCTACTTTTATTGAAAATTTGACGGTACCTTTTCTTAGTACTTCACTTTTACAATTTCCTACAGCTAGAGACATACTTATATCATCTATTTCCTCAAAGTTTATCATTAAACTTGTGTATTACAGAAATGAGTTCTAGCTGCTGTATCTACGACCCAATTAAATTTATCTGCGTTACCACCTTTATCTGTAGTTGACACATAATTTTCTACTAACATTAACACTTTATCTTTAAACTGCCCATTTTTATTGTCCACTTCAAACTTGCGATTTTTACTTAAATTTTCTTTACACTGAACGATTAAGTGTCCACTTTTATGACATCTACAACAAGGTCTTCGTATTCCCCACATTTTTCTTATATTTAGTTTTACTTTCAACGTGACTATTTTCCCCGGTATTTGTGCTAATAGTATTAAATACACTTACCTTGCTGTCTTCTAAATCTATCTGTACCTGGAGAAGTCGACTTTCTTCCCTTACCAGTTTTTCAGTAATTTTTTCCAACATGAAATCCTCATCCTTCTACATATAAATCAATTGCACAATTCCGGAGTATTCCTGGGGTAATCTCAGAATTGCTTCAAACACTATAAAAAGATCTGCTAAGTTGTGTAAAGCTTCTTCACAGTCATTTCTATCCTTGTGATGAATAGCCCAATTTTTTCATCAGATGCTTATCTAATGTTAAAAAATTCATCTAGAAGCTGGATTATTCTGGCTCTTGGTTTTAGTTCAAATTGCTTCTGTAGAATCTCCCATTCTTCTTTACCACTTGAACATTCTTGTATCAACAGCCTGAACTCGGTTTTAATTTCATAATATAATGTAGTGAAGGCTCTTTTTTCTCTCAAAGTGAAATCCTGCCTGTCACACCTTGTTGCATTTTTATCCAACTCTTCTTCTTTGCCTTCTATGAAGCTCCAACAATTTCTGTCCGGAACAGCATCTTTATATTGACTTTCCATCGGTCCCAGTTGTCATGGTTCAATAATTCAAACCCTTCTGGTAGTAAGGACATCTTTAGTTACACATAAGCACGACTACTTGAACCAACTTCTAAACACTTCAGCTTCTTTTCACAGATAACAGCCCTTGGGTAAAAGTATATTTTAGGGTACCCCTTGGCGAAACTTGGCGATTTTTGCCGGTACACGGATACCGAATTTGTGCAAGTCTTTGACTTTTTTATTTTGGCTTGCGTAGTGACGATTTTTGCGATAATAATAAATAGCAAGACAAAGAATTGCACAAACTCAGTAGCCATGTACACATTGACCTATTTTCACTTTTAAAAAAAAATATCCCAGAATTGCACAAAAATAACATTGCGCACTCCCTTTATCCATGTACACATCGACCTATTTTCACTTCAAAAAACATCACAGAATTGCACAAACTAGGCTTTGCTCACTCCCCCGAGTTTGTCCATGTACACATCGATATATTTTCACTCAAAAAGTCAAATGAGCCCCCAAATCTATAGTGGAAGCAAACAAAAATAGATAATCTCAATAAACTACATTTTAAACCAAACAATAAATAACAAAGAAAAACTTCCTAAAATTTACTGAACTAGGATCCGTATATCGGCATCGCCACATAAATTCACAAAAATAAGAGTAAAAAATATCCTACGTATTCCGGACTATCCCGAAAATATCTACTATGTAAACTTTCATTTACACACCAATCAATTAATGCATTTTCCCCCTTTCCTTCCAAATTGTACAGAAACTTCAAATTAATCTTACTACATTCAGCCATTCTAGTGTCTAAACAATGAAACAAGCAATGTATTTCCTAACCACACACACCACAAAAGCCCTTACAAAACATTCCCCGATTCAAAATTTCCCAGAATAATGCAAATGATTACGTCATGATAGGGTTTTTATAACATTCAAATACTCAGGTTACCATAAATGAAACAACAACTTGGCAATAAATGAAACAACAACTTTGCGATAATACAAGGGATATCCTAAAGTCAACTCTAACCCAGCCCTCTTT